GTCCCTAGAGGCTGGTGTCATTCCCCGGGTAGGTGCAGACTGGGATAGATCAGATGGGTAATATACCGTCCAAAGGATGCAGCCGAGCCCTGCTCTCCAGGCACCTGTAAGAGGTTCCTGCAAGTCCCCATGAAGCAGTCACTGCACAGCCTGCACGATCCTCGAATCACAGAAAATGAGGGCTGGAAAGGACCTCATGGGGTCACATCTAGTCGAACCCCCTGCTCCAAGCAGGACCAGCCCCAACTACATTATCCCAGACAAGGCTTTGTCTACCTGGGTCTTCAAAACCTCCAAGGATGGAGACTGCACCACCTCTCAGGGTAACCTGCTCCAGTGCTTCACCACCCTCCTTGTGACAAAGTTTTTCCTAATATCCAACCTCAGCTTCCCTTGCTGCAACGTGAGCCCATTGCTCCTTGCTCTGTCAATCCCTGTGTGGGAGCAGCTGCAGTTTTGTAAAGGGGGTGTTTTCCCAGCTGGAACTGGATAGAGCAGTGGTTCTCAGCCTTGCTAGTTTTGAGGCCTCCCTCAGTCTCAAGCAGGGGCAAATCCAAAGGGCTGCACTGCTGCACTTATACCCCACCTTCATTCCTGTTTAACGCAGAGTTTCAAACCAACTGCCCAGCAGTGACAGCAGCATTTCTATTCAGGCAGCACTTGACTTCATGCCTCATTGTCATCTACCTGATCTTCTAAACTCTTCACTCCACAAGTGCTAACGCCACTCTCTTCTTTCCAGTGGTCTTGATGCTCCACCAAGCAATCTAGCTCTTCTTCAGCCATTCTGCTGTCCGTTGACTGCTCGTGGTCACGAAGCTCCTATTTCACAGCCCTGCAGACTGTCTTTAACTCACCAAGTGCTATTTGTTTTTGCTCCGATCTTAAGTTGAATAATGCTGCCTTAGGCTCCTCACACATTAGTAAAACTCCTGGTGTCTTTTTAACTGGAGAAAGCTATGTGCTGTGTTATATGTGATGATGCACCTCACTATCACATACATCCCACTTTTCAAAACTCTAGATCCTTCCCTGGACTCAAGGCAGCCCTCTGAAAATGCCAGATTTTATTTTTTTTTACTTATTTTTGACTACAGAAAAATGGTAGAGCCATTCTTTTATTGCAAAGAACTCCCACGGCAGGGCAGGATATTTCTAATGATGATGATCATCATCATGATCATTGTCAGCAGAGCAGGATGTTTCTGATACCCTGGATTCTTATTGGAAATCTCTGGGGCTATTTTGGGAATTGCGTGTAAGTGTTTGCACACCAAACTGAAAATATTGCATGGGACCCTTGAAAATACCCTTGAAATACCCCAGACTGCCATGCTTCCTCGTTTGAGAATCACTGAGATAAGACTCCACCAATTCACCTTCATCAGCTTACACATATGGTCCAATCCTGCTGTCGCTGGGCACCCACATTTAATATGGAAAGGCCTGCTCCTGCTTTCATCCAAGGCATCGGGGAAACTCTGATTTAATTCAGTAAGAGCTCTTTTGAGAGCTTGGGTTCATTAGGAAGGCAGGGGTGAACTACAAGCCTGATAAAAATGTTCCTCTTTATGTGAAGCCTCTTCATGTGGGCAAGCACAATTTTTCATGAGCACATTGTGTGAGAGCACAAAGTCCACATCCTCTGAAGGAGCACTTATTGAGGGCTCCAGGACTTTTGCTTAAGATGTGGAAACACGAGCATGACTAAAAGCAGGCATAATCCTAGATTTGATAGCCCTAGAGAGGTCTGTGGATGACAAGTGGGGAAAAAGCCTGACTTTCCAACTCATCCAGGGCCCTAAATGTTTGGTCAGTGGAGCTGCATATGAAGGAGCTGGAGACATTTACAGCACTGAGGTGTTATTTCCAGCTTTATTAGATATAACTTATTGGCACCAATAATCTTGGCTCTGACACATCATTAGGACTTTTTGCACCCACTGACACATACACACTGACACATACACACACACCACAACATCCAACCAAGAAGCATTATATTAATTGCCGCTGATATTACTGCCCGTTTCTAGAGACACCGAATGCTTTTTGTGTGCAATGGCACGTGTTGCCTTCGCATCACCACAAAGGATAAAAAAAAATAAGGCCTTTCAGATAAAAATAACAAAGCAAATCTGTTCATTCAACACAGGGATTTATAGGGGGTGAAACTTGCCCCTGCAAAAAGGGGGAGCCAGTGTTTCTGGGCAATGTCTGTCCAGCTGAAGCACGCTGTATTCCCAAGGTTTAAACAGTGCTGCATAGGCTTTATGTACTGCAGGCCATGGGCTTGCTGTGAGGTTTCCCCATAGGGAACAGCAGATAGCATCACATTGCTGATGCAGATTGATGCTGGAACTGGGGAAAGCCAAGGCACAGAGACCACACGAGCTGCTTGAGCCAACATCAGGTGCCACAACTACCGATCCCCCCTCCCCCTAATTAATGACTTAATTAGCTGAAAGCACTGGCCCATGGGTTCAGCCTTTTGGTGGTCTCTGCTCACACCCACCTCCTGCCTCCCTAAGCATGGCCATGAGGCAGAACAGCCCAGTCAGGATCAGAGTCTGTTGCTAATGACTTCAGTCACTGCAGCAACTGGGCCTGGCGCAGTTATGAATGGGTTAATTAAACAACTTTGGGTGGTCAGGAATGACCGGAAAACTGAAGCATAGGATGAATGAAGTAACTTAACCATGGACACACCATGACTGAACCCAAGATCCCTACGGTCCCAGTCAAGATCCTTCCTACCTTCTAGCTATTGACCAAAGACAGTATGCTAAATGGAGACTGCTGAATGATGGAGAAGCCCAGGAAAGAGAAGGAACCAGCTTGAAATGAAGCCTGGTTTCTAAAGTTTCAAAAAGCGAGGGCCTCAAGACAGGCCTGTAAGATCATATTTAGCTGCCGACATAAGTTCCTGGTTTTCAGAGGTAACAGGGATCTGCCAAACTTCCTTTCAGAAAGGATGGCGGACGGGTTTTTAGTCATCTACAGCTTCATTATAGGAACAACAGTACTTCACCTCAAGGCACTGCTTAATATTCATTTGTTCCCAGTGAATTCATTTGGTGCTTCACTACTTCACTCAATGTGACCAGTACTGGGCCCAGGAGAAACATATTGTTTTATAGAGGAACACAGAAAGATAGATATTTATTAGGCCTTTCAGGACTAGCTTCCTTACAGAGACAGTGTATTAGGGAAAATGGTTTGCTATTGTTCTTGGGAAATGGGGGCTCAGTGGGTTTTTATTATTATTATAACTAAATAAATATTGCACAGAAAAATCTTCCACAGACATTCGCTCAAATAACTGATCTTTCAGTGCCATGAACATCCATGTCATTAGGTTTAATCAGTAGAAATGTCTCAAAAAGCAAATTTCAAAGGCACATTCATGAAGATTTGCCAAAAAAAAGGAATGGGAACAATTTCATGTGCCTTTTGTGGCCAAACACAATTAATTGAACCAAACTAAAAGAAAAAATAAAAGAAGCAACTATTTGTGACGAACGCATGGGATGAAACAATATTGTGCTGAATAAAATTGCAGAAATGCAGGAAAAAGAGGCTACCTTTGGCTAAATTAGTCACTTGACTAGTTTTCTCAGGTCTGTAATTTATTTAAGTGCTGTGCAGAAGGATGGCATAGGTATCATTTAAGTCTCATTGGGCGTATCTACACATGCTTGAATGTACTTTAGTTAATGCACATTGAATCTAGTGCCTTCATTGTGAGGGTGTTTTAACATGTGCTCTGGTAGTTGGAGGGAGGCCACTTTAATTAGAGCAGCTTGACAGTCTTAATTAAAGTGCCTGGAGTGTCTCATGTATCAGTGTCTCTACGTTTCAAGATGGTGGCAGGGGCACTTTATCTAAAGCTTGTTGAACGAGCTTTAGTTAAAGTGCCTCCGTTGTGATTTTGAAGTGTGGGAACACCAATATACAAGATGCAGAGGCTGGCTGGAGTGCATTAATTAGCATGCTTCAGCAGACTTAATTAATCAAGTCTGCTCCAATGCACTGTAATTACAGTGCATCAGAGCAGCCTCCATGCTCATGTACAGGCAACCTTAGTGGTGCTTTAATGCACATTAAAATAGACTAATGCGCATTAAAGTACTCATGTAGATGTGTCCATATATCCCTATTCTGAGGTGTTACCGGGGACTTAACAGCCTAGGCTTAATGCTGACATCCTGCATGTGGCAAATGTCATCCTAGTGATGTCTAGCAAAGAACAAGAAAAAAATGTAGTTCCTGTTCTGAAAAACAAACAAACCTAGCGATGTGGGGATCAAACAGGGAGAATGACCTAACTGCTCATTTAAGATTCATTTGGTTTAAAGACCAGTTACTGGACTAAAGGTAAAGACTGTAATGCCGTCAGTTGTATGACACTACGATATGTAAATAGGACTGCCTACTACGCTCTCATTTTATAGTTTTAACACATAATAAAGGTGCAGTTGCATAGGGGGGCAGAGACTCTCCCGGACACCTGGTTTAATCCTTTGTAGCATGCTGCTCACCATGTTTAGACAACACATAAGCACATACCCAGACATCACACTCCCGTCACGCTCTCATGTTAAGGAAAGTTAATTAAACAACGTGCTTTCTACCCTCTGTACAGATCAATATTAGAGCAATAACCTTAGCAAACAGAAAAAAACATCCTATATGCACCCATCTTCCACAGCTGTCTAGAGAGCAGAACAGAGCTAGTTAACATCTTGTCTAGAAAAAATGAAGGCGCTGTTTGTATCAGAGGGAACCTCATCCTGCTTTCATTTAAAATATAGCAAAGCAGAAAATTTGCTACCAGTGGTTTTGATTCTGCTCCACCTGAAACTGGCCAAACTTCCATTGGTTTGGTTTTAATTTGCATGCATGATTGCACTGGGTTAAACTGCTGCCTCTGCTAAATGCATTTAAACTTCTTCTTCTGTGCACAGAACACCTACCCTAACCCTCCAGAATAAGTTACATACAAATACAGATCGGTTTATTTAAATATTGTACAAAGAATTAGTTTAGCTCCTGACGCAGAAGCTCCAATACTGAGAGTCTAAGGCACAAGAGGATGCTTAAAGTAGAAAAAATGGATTTTAATCCTTAACTATGTAAAATAAAATTAGACCTAGGCTTTATAGGAAAATAAGTAACAGGAAGGACCCTTTCATAAAGAATCTTTCCTCAAATTGTGGTCACAGATGCAAATAGACCTCCTTGGGAGAGTAGGAATCACCAGGTCCATCCCTTGGTTCTCAGTTCGATTAAGACTTGAACGCCAAAAGATGAGCTGAAGTCAATTAGCAAGCAAAGGTTAAGCAAAACATTGGATGTCTGTAAGTTTACTTTGTATCAGCAGACTTCATCTTGTTCTAACTACTGCTAACAGTGCCGTCAGCTTCTCTAGCACCCTCTGTCCCAGGATTTTAAAGCAGTTTTACAGGCAGAAATGCATTTACCCCTGGAACACCCCTGGGGGATAGGTAAGTGCCTAGAGAAAATCCTCAGTCCCAGGTAATGGCTTCAACCACTAGAGGACACTGTCCCCAATGTCAGAGGAAACATTTCCCACGGAGAGGAGAGGACAAAAGAAAAGCCGAAAGTCGCCTAGCTTTTGCGAGAAGCAGAGGTCTCTGGGAAACGAAACCTCAGGCTGATGCTGCTTCGGATCCAGACGCTGTTTTCTGGAGCAGGAAAAAAAAGTCACGTGCAACCAGCTCTGAGTGTCTGGGGTAGCCCAGAGGGAGCCACAGGCCCTGCTGATAAAACTAAACGTGGCTTTTGTGAGCAAAGGTGTCCAGTATCCAACAGCAAAACACCGAAACCTCCAACAAGTGCGCCCGGGAGCAAGTCGGTCCCAGCCTGATGGCTGATGATCACAGAGACTATTGCAAGCGCAAGGGGATTCATTTGTTGTGCTAGCAAAGGTGGCTCTGAATTTCTCTCTCTGCAAGCTGTAATTTCTCCCAGCAACATACCGGGCCATCCCCTCAGCTGGCAGTGGTACAGTTACATTGCTTGACAACAGCCGAGCACCCAGCCTGCCACCTGTAATTCCAGAGACAGCGAGAAAGCGATGGAGCAGTTTTGCCTCTGTGGGTCCCGCAGTGAAAACAGCTTCAAAAAACAAAGTGCAGGGAACACTAGTTGCTGATTTGGTGCAGAAAACCTGCAAGGTTGGCTGAGTTCCTCCTGGCTCATAAGGTGCCGTCCGTGTTCACAAGCAAGTGATTGCAGGGACAAGAATGAGGGGCTGGAGCATGTGCTAGTGGACCCCTTGGTGCTTGGCAAGATATGCAGCCACAGGGACTTCCAGGCTCCCAGCACCAGTACGCCTATCCCCACTTCTCCATCCCTGGTCCGAACCAGCTCTGACACAAAAGGGCAATAGCAGAGACCACGTTCCTTTCCTGTCCCACCTCTGGGCAATCAGGTCCAGGAGGCGGTGGTTCCCAGGGGTCCAAGGCAGGCGATGCTGGGTGCAATCCTGCCCAGCAGCTCCAAGACGGCAGGAGATGGTTGGTGTGGCAGGAGGGCTGGGATGCATGGCAGTGATGGGTTAGCAGATGCAAAGAACAGACTAGGGGGCCCTGTTTGTGTGTCAGAGCCTGGGCAGAGAGTTTATACACTTCTCAGTGCAATCTGGAGCCGCTCTGGCCAAACTCAGGAGCGTGAGGGGGGTGTGTGAAATGAGCTGAGGGGTGCAGCAAGAGAAAAGCCCGTAGGAGGGACAGTGCTTCCATTCTCCCAGCCCCTCTCCAGCACGAGCAAGGTTAGTTTCAATGGCTCAGTGTCTGTAAACCCATCCCCAGTGGCTGGTGTGGTCACTCGGACTGCTTAGGCACCCATGTGAACTTCCAGCCCCCGTCATCATCACGGCGCACAAAGGCCTGGCCTTGCTGGAAGGTGTGCGTCTTCACGTTGCGGTGGGGGCTCACGGATGTGGTAAAGGCCACTTCGGTTTTGTTGCGTGACACATCCTGGGAGAAATAGGGCAATCCATAGGTGGGGAAAGGCACGTCACCATGCCCGGAGGAGAATGCACAAGGCGTTGAGGAGAGAAGGGGGAGATAAGGTGTAACCTCCTTGCAGGGGCTGGCCGTGCTGGGGATGCGGGTCAAAGGCTCGCAGCCGTACAGAGCTGTTGGGTCCTCTGCACTGTCATAATCCATGGCCTCCATGGGCCGCGGGCAGTACGGGTCCTTTCCCAGCTCGGTGGCCAGGGCACTGTAGTTAGCTGATACCGACTCATCAATGGTGTCGATGTCTTTTAACCCAAGGGTCTGTAGCACCCAGCTGTCCACTGCCGGGCAGGGGGGCTCTTCGCAGGCAGTGAACTCGCTGAAGAGGTTTCTCCTGACTTTTGCCGGTGGAGGAGACTCTGGAGGGGCAAAGCAATCGTTCTCCTTGACCTTCGTCTTGCCACCTCTGAAGATGGCATGGTCTCTCTGGCCAGTAACCGACAGCAGTTTCTAGACAAGAGAATGGGAGGACAAGGCAGGTTACAAACTAATCAGGCTTGTTCCAAAGCTAATTATACCCAGAGCTTGTTCTCCATGACAAGGCAGGTGCAGCTGTGATCACTTGGGGGCATTGCTCCCTTTGGGAATGACCCACGGCCTTGAAAGACCAGAGCACGGTAAGGCTGGAGCTGAGATTGTCTTCATGTGGGAGTTCAGAGCAAATCCTGCTGCAGTGTCTGGACAGCAGGACGGGAAAGACACCTAGGATGACCCTGGGTTGTATGGAAACAGATGAGGCAGCACAGATCGCCAGGCATCCTCAGGGGTCTCCCCTTATAGAGGGGAAAGGACGGGAGAAGCAAACAGCAACTTTTCCCTACAACAAATCAGAGGGATTGCCCCTGAGAGCCTCACCGAGACCCCCAGCTCCTTGCCCTCATGACCTAAAGAGGCAGCAAGGAGCCCAGTTCCTGTGTCCGTGGGGGCCAGGGTTGCTGGAGGAAGCATGGAGTCAGGGCTCAGGGCATAGCCCACCTTCAACCATCATAAGGGGGCTGAATGACTTGACAAAGATCTCCAGGATAGTCTGTGGCAGAGCTGGGAACAGGGTCTCTTCTCTGAACAGAGGCTTCTTTGCCTTCCAGGGACGGAAAAAGAGGCATCCTTGCTCCCACCGGAAGGACTGATGAGCAGATAGAGGTGTTGGGGAGAGAAAGATCCTTACTTCTTCTGAACTCCTCTTCTAAGAAACCATAGTGAGCAGATCACTGGGTTTTTGGTCCTCTGGCAAGTGTGGGGGGAAAAAAACCAATCAACCAACCCCCAAAACAAACCTTGATCCAGGACAAACAAAGATGTCGTATGACCCAAGGAAAAAAAAAAAAACTCATTTTGGATTTGAGCCTTTTTATTTAAAAAAAAGGTGGGGGGAGGGAGCATTGAGAAAAAATAAAGTTTATAAAAATGGTGAAGCAATAAGTTTCAACAAAAAATGGAAACGTGCAATTTTGAAAATGGTTAAATGAAACGTTTTGTGTTTAGTTAATAAAGAAATATTTCAACCCAAAAAACCAGCAACGCTCAGATGCAATTGGCTGAGATTTTCACTTTGCTGAATCTCCAGTTTTTCCAAAGAAAGTTTTGGCCCAAATAATTTTCAGCCTGTTTGACTCATGGACTGGAGGTGATAAAGTTTAATATCTTTATTAATGATCTGAAAGATGGGATGGAGTACACACTAAGCAAATTGGCAGATGACCCCAAATGAGGGGAGCAGTAGATATAGTGGAGGGCCGGGCTGGGATTCAGACACCTCAACACATTGGAAGACTGGGCCAAATGAAATCTCATGCAGTTCAACAAGGACAAGAAAAGTCCTGCACTGAGGAGGGAGCAATCCCCTGCACCGGTGCAGGTTGGGGGTGACGGGCTGGGAAGCAGCTCTGCAGAAAAGGACCTGGGGGGGCAGGGGACAAGAAGCTGGACAGGAGCCAGCAGTGTGCCCTTGGTGCCAAGAAGGCGACCAGCATCCTGGGCTGCATCGGTAGGAGCGTTGCCAGTAGATCGAGGGCAGCAATTCTTCCCCTCTGTTCAGCACTGGGGAGGCCACATCTGGAGTCCTGTGTCCAGCTGTGGGCCCCCCACTGCAGAAAGGATGTGGACAAATTAGAGGACTGGCAACAAAAATGGTTGTGGGGCTGGGGGACAGGACTGGTGAGGAGAGGCTGAGGGAACTGGGCTGATTGAGTCTGCAGAAGAGAAGACCGAGGGGGATTGAATAGCAGCCTTCACCTCCCTGCAGGGGGGCTGCAAAGAGGATGGAGCTGGACTGGTCTCAGTGGTAGCAGATGACAAGACAAGGAGCAATGGGCTCAAGCTTCAGCAAGGGAAGTTGAGGTTGGATATTAAGAAAGACTCTCTCACTAGGAGGGTGGTGAAAAACTGGAACAGGTTCCCCACAGGGGGTTGAGGTCTCCATCCTTGGAGGGTTTTAAGGCCCAACTCGAGAAAGGCTTGGCTGGGATGACGGAGTTGGGGCTGGTCCTGCTTGGAGCAGGGGGTTGGACTTGACGTGACCTCCCGAGGTCCCTTCCACCCTCATTTCCTATGATTCTACATTCAGTTCATAACTCAGGAACATGACTTAGTCCTATCTACAACAGTCAGGCAAACCATGAAACAACTATCACGTGAGAACATGACCACCCTTCTGGAAGTTTTGCAAGTGTTGGAGAGGTCTTCATATTTGTGCATTATCTACCTGTGGCCATTACCCCCCGTTTAACTATTAAGCCTTTCACCTGCGTGCTGCATTCCCATTTTCTCTACACATGCTTCCACAGTGGGTGTGAACACCATACCTTGGCCTTCTCTTCCAAGCACTTAATCAAAGCTGAATTCAGGTATTGTCGGAGGTTGTTATTCTCTTCATGTAACCTAGCAAGTTCCTCTTCCTTCTGCAGCAAGGTATCTTGAAGCTGCAAAATACAGAGACGAATGAATACACACTTCTGGGGTGTGTTGACTCTGTAACCTAATCGCCGCTGCCCTGCTCGGATTGGCCTGCCAGGATTTGATAATTTTTGTGTTTGCTTTGTGAACGCAGTCCCCAGAACCCCTTGTCCCGGCAGCTCTCCGTGGCATGACTGTTCAGTTCTCACTTTTGACTTCTCTTATTCTTCACCAAGTGCTTGAGGAAATTACTTTGAAAACCTGTAACCACAGAAGCATAATAGAGGTGTGCAGGGGAATGAACTGCAAACAGCCCTTTAAATACACAGATTATCTCGGCCACAATGCATGACTGCCAGTTCTTCTGCTGCTCGCCAGAGAGCCTCAGCTTCCCTCTGGATCCCGGCCTTGCTACCCTGGACCCAGCCGGAGGAGAAACAAGAGGCTGAGGGTGCAGTTAATAAAATGCAGATCCCAGTGTCACTCTTTCTACTAGAGTTTCATGCAGAGGCCCCAGTGAGAGCCAGTATCCAGTGCATACGCCAGGTAGGAGGCAGGCACTGACACACAGATCTCACAAGCTGCAGAGACAGGTTGAGAAAAGATGCTTGAATTTAGGGAAAAAATCCTAGCACTGATCAAACCAATGGGCGAACACCCCTTGACTTCAGTGGGGCCAAGATTTTATTTTGGGTCAGGATCACCTTGAATTATGGAGCCAGGTATAAGGGGAAATATGTAGTTGGCATATCCAATGCCCTTTTTACTGCCTGTAAGAATCAACCGAAAAGGAACAGGAAATGTGACTGTGTTTCTTCCCCAATGTGATTAACTTTTGCTATGTGAGATACCCGAGGCATCTGGAGCACATGCATAAAATCTGCGCAGTATCAGACCCTAAGGCATTTCCTAGAGATGCCTCAGATCTCTTTGGACAGAGATGGTGTAAAGTAGATGGGCTGGAGACACGGACACTGCAATGATCCCTTGGGAATTATTCCTTGTATTACTCCTAAGAGACTGATCAGCAAACACTTCCAACCCAATCCACCAGATCAACTGAGAGATTTCAAATAGGAAACCATGCTGCTCTGCTGCAGGCTTCCTAAGTTATTTGCAGCAGACAAACTGCTCTGTGATTTTTTTCTGCACTCAAAAACGGCGTGCAATGCCCCGACCCGGCATTTCCCGACGGAGGTCTTGGTGCTGACGAGGCAGGCCTCAAGTCTAACGAGGGGTGCCCCGAGTCTGAAAAAGGTCGAGAGCAGCCATTCAAATATTTCAGGACGACTCAAAGATGGAGAGAGAGCAGGGACAAAAATGACTTGGTGTTACCAGCACTTCCCACGCCCATGCCAAAGAGAAACGCCGGCTGATGGATACGTCGATCCCAAACCCGCTCTGAGTATAAATGCAGGCACGGAGGCCTGTGTCCTGTAAGGGGGGGGGTGTGCTCCCCCGGGGAAGGGGGGCATTACAGGACAGGTTACCTGCTTGTTTCTGTAGAGCTGGGAGGACAGCTGGTCTCCTGGCCACACGTCATCCTGACCAGCAAAATCCAAATCACAGAACGGGTCTGGGAGGGGGAACAGAAATCAAAGCAATGAACGCAGGAACCCGAGTTTCCACACCAATACAGAAACCATCGTCAAGGGCATTTCAAACCCTGTGGTTTGCTCCTGCAGGCAAGGAAGGGTTTTGCTACACAGCAGAGAGATGTCAGCTATTTAAACTACTGAATAACACATCTGGAAATCAGCCTTGGTTAGGGCCAAGACCTCTCTGTCGGGCAGACACTTGGATCTGTCAGTAGGAAAGCAGGTTTCAACGTAACCCTGAGGCAGAGGGGCAGCGGGCAGGGAGTCCAGACACCTGGGTTCCCATCTGGACATTATTGCTCCTCCACCGTGGCCCTGGGCCATCCCCGTTTCCCCATCTCTGGTAGAGGCTAACATCCGGACAGCTGGGCTGCCTCGTGGAGGACCAGGGCAGGCTGGTCCGAGACCTACCAGGTGGCACGTTCACAGCAGCCGCTTCCCTCCTGGCTCCCTCAGACCCTGGTCTGCCTAATGCATCCCCCTCTGTAAGAGCTGCCCCTGATGGGGCCACACTGCCCCGGATCCATGCTGCCCTGGGTGGTGAGCGGGGTCCAACCAGGTTTCCCCCTGTTCCTCTCTGCGTTGAAGCCTCCAGCATGGACAGTCCCAGCTGTTGTGGCTCACAAGCTGTGCCCCTCCTGCCCAACCCCCAAATTTCCCAGGAATCAAGCAACACCCCCAGCCTGGCATTGCACCCCTTCCAGGGGGGATCAGGCAACACCCCGCGCACCCAGCCTGGCATTGCACCCCTTCCAGGGGGGATCAGGCAACACCCCGCCCACCCAGCCTGGCATTGCACCCTGTCCAGGGGCATCAGACAACACTCTGCTGAGCCTGGCATTGCACCCCTTCCAGGGGGGAGATCAGGCAACAAACCCCAGCCTGGCATTGCACCCATTCCAGAGGGCAGCACCCCCCCACCGCAGCCTGGCATTGCACCCCTTCCAGGGGGGATCAGGCAACACCCGTGGCAGCCTGGCATTGCATCCCGTCCAGGGTGGATCAGGCAACAAACCCCAGCCTGGCATTGCACCCCTTCCAGAGGGCAGCACCCCCCCGCCCCAGCCTGGCACTGCACCCCTTCCAGGGGGGTTTAAGCAATGCCCCGTCCCCAAGCCTGGCACTGCACCCTTGCGGGGGCACCATCCGCGCCCAGCCTGGCATTGCAGCAGGGGCGCTGGCACGCTCGGGCAGCGGTGGGCTGAGGGCAGGCGGGCTCCCGCTCGCTCCTGGCTGCAGGGGTCCGGCCGGGGCCGGCCCGACTTACCGCGGCGCGGTCCCTGGGCGCTGTTGTCCGGGAGACCGGCAGCCCAGGAGGACACCCGGGTCTCCTTGGAGACATCAACACTGGCGGCGTTGGCGGCGGGCGGGCAGGCGCTGGCGCGGCAGCAGGAGCAGGGGCAGGAGCGCGGCG